TTTTTCAGAGAAAAGGCAGTGTTTACATTAGTACCTAGGGACACCTCCAGTGGCAGTCACTCAGACAACCACTAGAGGTGCTTCCCTGGTCAGTGCTGAACAATGTTCAGCACTGACGTTCAGCTTCTCCTTGCTCTGTATGGAGATTCAATGCACCTCTATTCAATGCATCTCTATGAGGAGATGCTGATTGGCATTTTGCTGCCAATAGCCACCCAATGCTTTTATATGGGAAAGCAATGGACCAGGTACTGCAAGGTGGACCAGGTACTGCAAGGTGTCCCTGCGAAAGTGGGAGTCGAGAAGGGACGAAACCTCGTACTCTTCACCAGAGTCAGCAACGGCAGCACAGGGGCGTCTAACAGGCTTCGTGTACCGGTTGCACAGGGTGGGTTTCAGAAGGGACGTGTGGAATGTATTGGGGATGAGCAAGGACGTAGGCAAATCCAAGGAGTAAGATTGACCCTGCACAGCACCCTATAATGACCGATGAACTTGGGTGCCAGTTTCATAGAAGGGACACGGAGGCGCAAGTTCCTAGTAGACAGCCAAACTCTATCACAGGTACATAGCTGGGTGCCGCAGCCCTATGGCGATCAGCGAACCTCTTCTGGGACTTGGCTGCACAAGAGAGAGTTCCATGGACCTGATCCCACATTTCCAGCAGAGCTGCAAGGTGGTCGTGAAAGTAGGTATTCCCTTGTAATCTGTCGGTCACCATTAAAATGACTGTATGGCCTTCAGAGGGGGGAAGGTCCACTCTAAAATCTACGGAGAGGTGTGTCCAAGGAGTCTTGTGTACCGAAAGGGGCATAAAAAGACCGGGTGGCTTGCTTGTAGGGGACTTAGATTGAGTACAGACTCGGGAAGCCTTTACATACTCCTTAACATCCTGTCCAGCAGAAGGCCACCAAAACTGTCTTGTTATGATTTCACATGTTTTGCTGATACCTTGGTGATCCGCTGTCTTTGCCCTGTGATGTAATGCCATAAATTTTCTCCTGTCTCTTCCCTGTACAAGAAATAAACCTGTGGGTGTTTCGGGTGGTGCTTGGTTTTGTTACCTTCTATCTTATCAAGGAAGAGGGAGGAGGTGGGTAGTGGCAACAATGTTTACAGGAGGAACTATGGGTTCAGGGGGAGTAGCATCAGCTTCTAATGTTTCATGTTTCCTGGATATGGCATCCGCCTTGGTGTTGCGATATCCAGGTCTATATGTTATGGTGTATTGGAAACGTGATAGGAACAAGGACCATCTAGCTTGGCGAGAGGATAGCAGTCTGGCCTCTGCTATATAGGAAATGTTTTTATGGTCTGTAATAACCAATATGGGGGATCTGGACCCCTCCTGGAGGTGTCTCCACTCCTTGAAAGCCAGAACTATGACTAACAGTTCCCTGTTTCCTACATCATAATTCCTCTCTGCATCTGTTAATTTCTTGGAGAAATAACAACACGGGTGGAGAGGATCATTGTGTGTCTTCCTTTGGGAAAGGATTGCACCAACCCCAGACTCAGACGCATCCACTTTGAAAGGCAGTGATGGGATAGGATGGTGCAAAACAGGGGCTGACGTAAACGCTTCCTTTAGTGTTTTGAAGGCCGCAAAAGCCTCGAGACCCCATTCCCGTGGGTTGGTACCTTTTTTGGTCAACTTGGTAATAGGGGCAACTATGGAAGAGAAGTTCTTTATGAACTTTCTGTAATAGTTTGCGAAACCTACAAATCTTTGTATCGCCTTAAGCCCTTGAGGAAGAGGCCAGGACTTAATATACTCCAGTTTCTTGGAATCCATACTAAACCCATCCTCAGATATGATGTAGCCCAAGAACTGCAAAGAGGTCTGGTTGAAGAGACACTTCTCAAGCTTGCAATAAAGACCATTGTCCAGCAGTTTCTTCGAAACTGATTTGACGTGTTTATGGAGGGTTTCAAGGTCTGGGGAATAAACAAGTATATCGTCCAGATACACCACTGCACATACATGCAGGAGATCCTTGAGGACATCATTAATAAAGTCCTGGAAGACTGCGGGAGCGTTACATAGGCCAAAAGGCATTACCAAGTATTCATAGTGGCCACTACGGGTATTAAAAGCAGTCTTCCACTCATTCTGTTCCCTTATCCTGACCAAGTTGTAAGCCTCCCTAAGGTCCAATTTAGTATAATATTTAGAGCCCTTTACACGGTCAAAGAGCTCCGTAATGAGTGGAATGGGATACACGTTGCGTAACGTGATCCTTTTGAGGCCCCTGTAGTCGATTCAGGGGCTCAGATCACCCTCTTTCGTGGAGACAAAGAAAAAGCCAGCACCTGCTGGAGAGGATGATCTCCTAATAAAACCTTTCCTAGGGGATTATTCGATGTACTCCTCCATAATCTTGTTCTCCAGCTCAAAAAGGGGATAAACTCTGCCTTTGGGTGGCATGGTCCTTGGCAGCAAATCTATGGCACAGTCATAGGGATGATGCGGGGGAGCTTGTCAGCCTCTCTCTTCTCGAATACTTGTGCCAGATCCTTATAATCCGGAGGCACAGAGGTAGAAAGAGGAGTGGCTGAAGGCAGGTTCAAGGCGCAGATTGGATAGGCAGTTTGCATGACAAAAAGCACTCCAGGAAAGGATATCCATGTTAACCCAATTGATAACGGGATTATGTTTTTCCAACCAAGGGAAACCAAAGACTATAGGGCATGATGGAGAACATAAAATGTGGAACGTGATTTGTTCCTTATGCAGGGCACCTACGGACATACACAGGTCCTGGGTTTCGTGTGTAATTTGGGGTGTTGTAAACGGTCTATCATCGAGATCCTCAATGGCCAAGGAAGTGGTTTTCCGGATCAGAGTCAGGGCAGAGGTTTCAGTGAAAGACTGATCCATGAAGTTACAAGCTGCACCTGTATCGATCAGAGCAATGGTGATGATGGTATTACCTTTTACAAGCAGCTTTATCATTACATATGGTCTAGTTGAGTCACCTTGAGGGGATAACGTAATACCACCCAAGACTAGCCCCTCGCTAGGTCTTAGGCGTTGCCGTTTCCCTGGAGGTCAGGGCAGGTGTTCCTTTAGTGCCCCTTCTTCACGCAGTATAGGCATAAGGCGTCCCTCTTTCTGCATTGCTTTTCCTCCTCAGGCAATTTGGTAGAATCCAATTGCATTGGTTCTGGCGGAGGGTTAGGAGGAGGCAAAGCAAGCATAGGGGAGGTAGTCAAGGCAGGTAAAAGGGAGGCATATACTCCGTGGTAGGTATCTCGCTGAAGATACCTTCCTCTGATGCAATTGTCAATCACAATGCAGTAATCAATGAGATCGTCCAACAGAACAGGTATCTCTCTGGAGGCTATCTCATCCAATAAGTAACTGGCTAATTCCTCCTGAAACTCGGTTACCAGGGCATCATTGTTCCATACCACCTCTGCCATTAGAGTACGGAACTCAATAGTGTAATCCGACACAGACCTGGACCCCTGTTTAATCCATAGTAAAGGCTTCCCAGCGGATGCAACCCTACCTGCCATATCAAAGGTCCAAACGACATGGTAGCGCCAGATTCCCATATTGGATTAGCCCAGGCCAAAGCCTTACCAGAGAGATGGTTGATAAGGAAGGCCATTTTTTTTTAAATTCTTTATTTTTGAATTCAGTTATGGAGCGTTACAATTCGTACATGTACTGTGTCATCTTTACAATACATTGACAGCAAATTACTGTATACAATTGCGTTAACATATCGCATTATACGGAGTTATCGAGCATTACAAGTGTTTAATCCACCCCTTTTACTTTGCACTTCTCACGTTGAACAGTTATTACTAGGTATGTACCACGGTTGATTACCTATCGATATGCTTGTTTAGTACACGGCGAGCCCGTGTTCTGTGCGGGTCTGTTAGAGAGCATTTGCTGGTGAGCGTATACCGTGTTATATACAGTGTGTATGCGTATTGCTACTGTTGTAAGTCCTTTCTATCACCGTAGTGGTGGGGACCTGGTGTTCTCATTTGATGCCCGCGGTTTAGAGAGTGCGTCTTGCTTTTGGCTATTTAGATTATTGCTCCAGCCCAAACTTGTTTTTAGGGTAAGTAGGGGGAGGTGAGTGGAGGGGGGATAAGGGACGTTGTGGGGGGGCCCTCTATGTGCTGTTTATCTTGCCCGGGGAGGGTGTGGGGGGGGGGCCTGGATTTTATCTTGAATTTCCCTCCAGGGGTGATATTTTATTTTTTTTCTCTACCTCAACACTGGCTCTCTTTACTGGTTTGTGTCAACCCTTTATGCCCTTCTCGTTATATGAGTGCTGGTCGTGGAATGCTGTCTAGGAGGTATGATCCCTTCTCTAATCCTTTCGCCCAAGGGGGGGGGGGTGCAGATTACCAGGGGGGTCCCCCGTGCGCGCTCACCATAGCCATGTCCTGCGGGCCCCCTTACTCCCTCCTTCCTCACTTTATCTCTCTTCTGTACCGGTTATGGGGCCCCCGCCCCGCCCACCACTATCACCCGGTCAGGTCCCATAGTACTTCATAAATTGGGCCCCCAGCCCCCCCCTTTTTTTTATATGTATATTATGTAGAGGTCTAATATAGGTTGCCCCCCATATCCCACTCCGTCCCTTAGAGACCCTAGGACTGGTCGCACTGTCTGAGGTATGCATAGTAAGGGGTCTCCCTCTTGTCTACCGCAGGCGTGGCCTACGCATGGCTAAGAGAGGGTCAGCTATCATTAGGCCAGATATAGGTTTAAAACAGTAAAATTTTAGACATCCATTTCCAGTGGTGTTTTTTTTTTCTATTCTCCTCTGCAGTTGTCTGTTCCACCCCTCCCTTCCCCTAGTACCGAGACCCCCATGCCCCATCTGTCCCCCATGTCATCATAGCTGTAATGCCAGCGTTAGTGTCCCAAAGGTGTGATATGAATTGTCAGCATGCAAATATGAAATCAACTTGCGTGTCCCAATGTCCGCTGCTTATGTCCCTCCAATGCGGACCTCCGCCGCCTCTGCTTAAGTAGGGCGCGCCCTGTGCTCCGACCAGTCCCTGGGGAGGAGGCCCAGTGCCCTGGGGCCTCTTGTTGGCAAAATGAGGTCGTCTGGCACCTGGATGCCCAGGTCACAGAGGGCCCCCCTGGGGCCCATGGATGGCGTTAGAACTGTAGGTCTCGGGCCGTTGAAGATCAGCATCTTAAAGGGGAATCCCCAGACGAAGCATAGGCCTTTTGCTCTGACGAGGTCTGCGATGGGTTTCCATTCCCTTCTCCTTGCCAGGGTTGTTGGCGCGATGTCTTGATAGATCTGGAGCACCACTCCTTTGTATGTGTATTGGTGGTTCCTGCTCTGCTTAAGTATTGCTTCCTTTGTGGAGTAAAAGTGCCATCTGATGATAATATCTCTGGGTGGGCTATCTTGTGGGCCCTTGGCACGCAGTGCTCTGTGAATCCTGTTGATGTGCCATAAGTGTTCCAGGATCTGTGGTAGACTGGCGCGGAAACACTCCGCCATTACTTGTTCCAAGTCGCCATCTTGTACCTCTTCTGGCAGGCCGCGTACGCGCATGTTGTTGGGCCTTGTTCTGTTGGAACTGTCTTCTAGCTCCATTTCCAGTTCAGCTACCCTGGTCAGGAGTGCACTGGTGGTCGTGGTGGTGTCATTGTGTGCTGTTACCACATCCTCCAGTCTGCTTTCCAGGGCCTCCTTTTTGATACCAATGGCCTGTATTTCCGCCTTCACTTCCCTGGCCGACCGTTCGATTTCTCCTGCCAAGTACCCCTTCACCTCCTCCAGTGAGTGCAGTTTAGCGCTTTGAGGGTCCTCTGCGTGACCGTAAAGAGATGCCGGTGTGGCTGGGGGGCTCGGGGAGGATGCACCTGTTGGGCTTTCTGCACTGTGTGTTCCTCGTGGCGCAGGCTTAATGGCGGCCAGCATGTCCGCGATGGAGGGATTATCCCCTCTCTGTTTTTTCGCTGCCGCTTTCCTGTGTGACATGTTGTGGGGATAGCTCCTGTCTTCCTCTCGTGCTGGCTTCAGTTTAGGGGGACTAATCCAGCGGTGATCGCTGATTACAAGGCTTTTTACTGAGCCTTCGGTGCGGAGCTCTGGAGTTAGGCTGCCATCACTCACGGAGTCCAAGCCATGCCCCCTAAGGAGGGCCATTTTTGACCCGCCAGTGGGAAAGGAATGTGGATTCATGACCAGGTGTATGTCGACCTGGTTTATGAATCCGCGACAAAGAGTCGGATCACCACCATAGCGTTGGGGTGGTGTCATGCGCACAGTATGGAAAGGACCAATAGGTAATGGGTGTAGAGCAGAAGCCTGTGAGACAGCGACAGGCTTCTGTACCTCTGGTTAGAGGTGAGCAGTATGCTGCAGGATGGTCTGAAGGCCCTGGGTGAACTGATCCAGACGATGGTCTTGATCATCCATCCTGCAATTCTGGGGCAGCTAGCTGCTGTGAGATGTCTGCTGGTTCCATTTGGCCCTGTTGTAATGTCACGATTGGTAGGGAACCTAACACACAGACAGGACACAACAGACAGAATTGCAATACCGGTCCTTAGAATGGCCAGGATATGCAAAAGAATAGTCAAAGCAAGCCAAGGTCAAAGGGAAATAGAGAGATGGAATATAAAGAGACAAGCCGAGGTCAGGGAGCCGAGAAAGCAGAGTAAACATAAGACAAGCCAAAGTTCGGTAACCAATTAATCAGAGAGAGTATAACGTGCTATTGGGCTAAACATAGACCACAACAGGGCACTGAGGCAAGAGGGAGGTTAGCTTATATACACACAGGGTGTGTCTGATTGGCTAACCTCCAATTAGTGTTAACCACAACATGTGGGAGGTGTTTCTTCCCTCCCTTGTGGTCTCTAAAGGTCATCACTGTGTGAAGGGTCACATGACCGGGTCTGGTCCACATATAAGGATGCTGCTCTGGAGCGTGCAGCATCAGAAACACTGTCAGTCTGGAGCACAGCGGTGGGGACAGCCACATGTTGTGGACAGGGACCAGATGGCGCCGCTGGCGGTGATGGGGTAAGCAAGCTGCTGCGAGCGGCGCGGAGGCTGAGGACCTGACACACATGGCGCTTATATAAAGGTGAGTTTTATCTTATGTAAGTGAGGCAATGGGGGTTAACATGTTTTTAACACTGTAGGGTAAGGAATACACATTTGTACGCCTGACACAATAGTGTTCCTTTAAGGTTATTTTAGGAACCTGGTGGGAGTTTCTAAAATGCTACATAATAGAAAAAATATATATATCTGAGTATAATACCCAGAAAAATCTCTGCAATCCACAGGATTTCAAGAATCCCTTTCCTGCTCCCCCCCGTTCCATGGCTGATAGAATGCAGCCGTAAAGTTTGACTTACAAAAGGTGCTGTAGTGCATGGGAATTGGGAAGGGTCAGCCATTTACAATCCATCTCTGGAGAGAAAAAATAGGGCCCCAGCATACAAATGATATTCTCTTCTCCACTGAAGCAAAGGTGAAGATAAATGGCACATTACACACTGCAAAATGAAAAGTGCATACTTGTGGTTGGATAGGAATGAGTTGAATAACAAGGTATAGGGTTATTTAAATAAGGGGAGGTAGTTTATTAATGTTAGGGTTTCTTCCCCAGTTTGACATGTACTAAGGGCAGATGTAAAGTTCCCAGGTATGTTCTGAAACTTAATATATGGCATAGGCATAGTTAAATAATTTGTATATTAAAATTGATCTCTCTGTTATCTTTTCCCAGGAGACATTGTATTTCTCCATGCATAAGGGTAGCTTTATGAAGGGATAAAATATCATCACAAATGGTAATTTTGTGGTCTGTGTCGCTGTTTATTTTATGTTTCAGATTGGAATCCCTTTTGTTTTCACTGAGAGAATAAGACCTACCTTCTCAAAGTGACATTCTGGGGCTATCTATAATGTGTGTATGACATGTATATGGGTACGGGTGCATGCGCAACTTCATAAGTTCCAGTCTGTGGATTAATGCAGCTATCTGTTTGGCTCTATAATTTATGTTGTTTTTCTCATTATTATTTATTAATCAAGGTAGTTTATATTTTACACTACATGTGTTCAACCCAATAACCAAATTACCGGTAATTTAACATTTACAAAATTAATTAGAACAAGGAGAAAGCATTTTCTATCCAGACAATAACTTTAACGTACAATCAGTTCTATCACTGCAAGAGACACATTGATGTGAGCTTTGTTTTTGTAGAGCTCTGTGATACACTTACACTTACCACACATTCCTCTGAGTTAAATTGCTGTAGAGCTCTGTAATACACTCAGGCTTAGGGTTAATACTCGTCATTTTTGCCTTAGTGGCTCTATGGTTCGTATCTTTCCAAAATAAGCCAAATAGGCCAATATGTAGAGATAAAAAAAAAATATCAATGTCTTCGTTAGACCACCTCACCAGTGAGCATCATTGGGCAAGACACTTAATGATACATAGCCGTCGGCCTTCCTCAAATCCTCATAGATTGCAAGCTCATTTGAGCAGGGTCTTCTTCCCCTCTACGATACAAGCAAAAATACAATACAAGCAAAAATAGGTTGCGCCAATAATACAGTACAACATATTCAGAGAATGCATTTGTACTTCTTAGTTAACGGCTCTCCAGACTTCGGCTTGTAATCCAATACATGACATAAAACAGAGAGATGGCTGATAATAATGCAATATCTTTAGTGCTACGTGTGGACTCAGAACACAGATATAAAAACTAGCACTCACATTTGATGGAGCTATAACCAGCTCTAAGTAAAGCGGCATACAGCGGTTTAACCCTCACTGATGGATATGTAGCTTTATGGATCAATATCTAAGCTTGCAGATAAATATACCAGAAAAAAATATAAAAAACAGCCTTCTTACCCTCTAAATATCCCCAGGTTTTTTGTGTACTCTCATACACTCTTCATGAGAAGCTCTCTCATGACTTCTTTCTGATAGTCATGGCTTGCCTGCTCTAGAACCCACCATCGCATTCTTATCCGTACATTTGGGAGATGATTAACACATTATGATTACAGATATTAACACATGATTACAGATACGATTAAAACACTTTTTTATTTTGATTACTAATCATCACTAATTATTTGTCAAACGTCATTTTAAAACACAAAGACATCTAGAAATACTAAAATGTGATTTAGCCGGCTGTGTTTCCCAGCTTGTGCAGCTGAAATCTCGGAGAACAAATTAGAGAAATCCATCTATTTACCCGGTATGTAAGGTATCAGTAAAAAAATAATGACATGTTTAAATTTGGTGGATACTTAAGCTTGGGAAAAGAAGAGTACCATAGGTTGACCTCACCGCTCATAGTGTTATTAAAAAAATGGGACACAATGAAAAAAGGTGAAATGGGGGCAAACACGGAACATGCATTTTCAGCAGTGTAACTGCCATAGAGACCAACATGTATACAAAATACAGATTAAGGAACAGTGCATACACAAATACAGCTTTACATTTTACAAGGCTACTTAAAATCACTTATCTCAGCAAACTCAGGTGGGTCATAGACTTATTTTTAACGTGGGAGACAAATTAAATGGTGCTAATTTTTATTTGATAAAGAGCAGATATATGATCTGCATTGTGTGTGTGAACATCAAAGCACTATCACTTTAATGGTTTCGTTTTGACATTGTATTTCTCTTATATTGTATAATTTATGTATATATTGTATTTCCTAAAATAATTGTGAGTTGTATGTTCAAAATTGTACCACAATTATTTCTCTGTCAAGCCCGGTATCCTGTTACAGAAGATATAGATGTAACTGTGGAAGAGATTTATCAACGTGTTGTAGATAGTTTTTTTTTACCTTTGATATGTTTTGGTGGTTTTCTTTCAGCGCGGTTTATCAAATCGGTCTGAATTTGTATTTGAGTATAGGCAAGCAAGCAAACATTCAACTTATAGGATTAAAGAAGAGGGTAATAGCGTCTTGGAAAAATCCTCAGACACGGACTAATATGCAACGAGAAGAGAGGACAAGGAGAAGAATATAGTGTAGAATGGAACTTATTGATTATAGAAGAAACAAAAAGAAATGCACTTATAGTGTATGAAGCTGGTGATTAGCTCCAATTTAGTATGTCTGGGGGTTACAAACCCGCCTACGGATATGTAGTAGGTATCTTGGTCCAATGGGGGGTAGCCCAAGGTATTAGACTTTGTTACATCCAGTTTATATCGGGGCAGTGTCCACATTAGCATGCAGATTTTGCATTATACGAAACATAATAAAGTAAATACTGAATTTATAACAAAAGACATTGTCATCATAATTAAGAAGATACCCTACTTTCTCTTGTAATATAGATAGCATAAAGACATTTTGACACTAGGTAGCATACACATTATATTATAATAATAATAATATAATAATTTGCGATGTTTATACAGATTGTAATCATTTAGTGGCAAAGCAATGGTTTTATCAATTATTTCGTCATATTATTTATTTATTTTTTTGCACCAGGAAAGTGTTCTGTGCACTTTCTTTTCTACCTCTCTAAATTCGATAGTCTTTTTAGGAACTGACACTTCTCTGATAAAATAATGGACTTTTTAGATCACTTTCAGAATTTCTTTTTATAAATACAACAGATTACAGACTAAAAATCACAGGGTAATCTCCCCCAAACTCAGTGTAAACCTAACCCCTATTGCACCTGCAGGCTAAGAAAATTGAAAGCATTATACGTCTTTTTTACTTCTTAAAAAAGTCCCCAGGTAGGGAAACTGAATGGACAATCTCTTTATATTGCTTTTCCTAAAGTCATACATTGTCTACTCACTTTAGGAATGCACCTCTCAAGTGTCACTAACACTGTGGCAGTCCTGTTTTTTTTGTTTTTTTTTAAATGTTAGTGTCTGTGCATTATAC